CAATTTGAATTTGCTTAATTTTGCAGCCCGAGTTAGGACTCACAAATCATTTCCAGGGCATGTTCTCCTCTTGATAAGAATGTTGCTAACGTTTTTTTGCTGTTGGTTTTTTTTTTAAACAGTCGTGGCAGTAGTCGGAAAAGTCGCTAGGTTACCAACACCGAAATGAAATGAAAGCACCACTTTCAAAATAAAAGCTAAATTAAATGAACAGTAAATGGCGAAAACAAAAACAATTAAAAAAAGGAGGTGTTATTTTGTCTCCAGTCAGGTGAAGTGTGATGCAGCATGCTTTGCTTGTTATAGTTTTGATGAAGAGGAAAATCCATTGGACACTCTTGTTGTGTTGTAATTTTTATTTGCTCTGACCTCTGCCTCAACAAGCCTGCAGAGAAGCTCTGATTACATCCTTTTTATTTTCTCCTGTGAGGCTCCAGCGCCTCAATGTTCTCACGGCCTCCAGGTGATGACGATCGATACTCTTCACTGGCCTCGATACCCATTTCGCTTCAAGTGTGATCACAGCACATGCACCTAAACGATGTCCAAAATGGCATAAAACTGGGTGTGTGCCTAACGTCTTGTTTTCTATCACCGGCCCTCGCTCACCTCTCCTAATTGCTTTTCTTCATGCCCTTCGCTCCCCTCTATTAACGCGCTCCCCCTCCCCCCGCCTCCCCTTCCTCCCATATGACTCATTCTTCATCTTTTACAACTATCTCCCTTTCCATACTTATCCTCGCTCATTTTGGAAGATCCCTCTCCCTTGTGCGTCCCTCCATTCTATTGCTCTGTCGCCCTCGTATTCGCCTGTCCTTTACTTTCCAATCTCGGCGTCCTCTCCTCCCCCTGCTGATGTTGTAAGAAATACCAATAAGCACTGCTGCTGTTTACGGGAGACAAGTGTACGTGTGTGTGTGTGTGTGTGTGTGTGTGTGTGTGTGTGTGTGTGTGTACGTGTGTGTACGTGCTCCCAAAGCACTGAGCTCTATGTGTGAAGGCTGTCTGCACCAGAGCCTCATGGGCTCCTGCAACCTGCATAGCTGCAGCAACTACACCCGTGCTGAATTGTAGGAGAAATGAGCTTTGTGCCTTGCTCGGGCACACGAACACACAATCGCGACAATTCTTAGTGCATGTATGGTGGACTTTTAAAGCAACTCCATCTCTCAATTTCTTGCAACACAGAAAACATTGCTGTGTTGAATTTACTCCATTTTTTTTGTTTCGTCAAGTGGCTGTTCAAAATGTTATAAATTGTCTGGATGTCGTTATGTTGGTTAAGTCGATGTACAGTCTAAACAAAATGCATCCAAATATTTTATTTTGTGCCACCATTCAATGAAATAAAATTGAGTAAAATTCAATTTATTTTTCAGTGTTCACAAATCATTTCATTTCCATCATGTTTGTGATGTTCGTTCATATTCACTGAAAAAGGTTTTTTTGATTTTATTTCATCCAATGGTTGCACGAGATAAAATCCTTTGGATCCAGATACATTTTTGTTCGTAGTTTTATAATGTACTTGTATCTGGATCAAAGGATTTTTTTTTTTTAAATAAATGCACGGAGTAAAAAAAGTACAAAATCATCAGAAAAATTATTGCTCAAAAGTGCAGATGTATTTATACTTCCTGGTTGGTTTTTGTGTAATTGTATGGTCACCATGAGAGGTTCACAGGTACTGCACTGCAGAAAGTCCAACATTTGGCTCCATATTAGATTTATCAAGAAAGAAGGCAATTTGGACAAGACTCATGCATTTCCAAGCTATGCCCTGCTGCTATTAAGGCCATTGGCAGCAAGAATAATTGTCTCTCTCTCACAACTTGCATTCGACTGCAGCCACAGATTCCGCCGGTCGTTTTCTCTTCTGTCAAAACCAATGCGACACTGCTAAATTATGCCCCAACCGAGTCAAATGGTAGCATGCTAATTGGAATGAACCGGGACAGCACTGTGGCGCATGTGGTTTGTGTGTTACCATTAGACCTTTTTTGTGGCACTTTTGCATGTTTTTGCCACGCTTGTGTGAGATTTCCGAACGCATTTCCATTTCTGTGACAAGCTCTTTGATGAGACAGAAGCCAGCTTTGAAAAAGATCTCTTTCCAACACATTGATTTATCGAAAATGTTCCGATGGAGAATATGAATGGGTCTAACAGGATAACATTAATATTTGTAACATCTGAAAATCTGGCTGAATAAATGAATTTTTTTCCCCTCTGAAAAATAAAAAAAAAAATGTTCCTAGTGTCTTGGAAAAGACCACAAGCTGTTCTAGTGAATAATTTGAAATGTAAGATTTCTTTAATATTTCCCCAAAAATATGTCCAACCTTCTACCTTCTATCAGACATCACACGAGAAGTCAATAAATCATACTAGACCTCAGTTCAGTGAGCAAAAGGCACAAGGGGTGCTTTTCGTTTTTGGTGGCAAAGTACAAAGAATGGCTTCTCAATACAATATGAGAACTATTATTTTATTGATTGACCCCGTTTTATTTATTATTTTATTGTATTTCAACGATACATACAAAACGCTACCGAGTGACAGTTGCCTTTTACTTCACTTTGTTTCAGGTTTGTGGTATTACACAGTGTTTGATGCGAAATAATACAATGTTAGTTGAAAATTTTGCTTTACAATTAAGACGCTCTTTTTGATGGGGACAGTTTGACTTTGGAACTGTTTTGACCGTTTTATGGCGTGACTGTGAATAGATAAGACAGTCAAGCAAGCGTCAGGGAATGGATGCTGTTCATTTTTGGGGTTCCAACTGTATGTGGACCCAAAAATACTGAAATGTTACGCCGACTGATAGGAGTCAGTATATCTGCGGTGACTAATTGGAGCTGAAATGGCAGAATCTTCCCAAACAGACTCTTAAGAAGCCACAACTCACAAGCCGGGGGCACATTTGCGTCCTCTTTGTTTTGTTTTTCATTACAGCGCATTCGATAACCATTAAAGGTGATTTAATGTTTCTGTATTGTTGAGGTACCACTTACTATTAATGCAAAAATCCATCGGTTCCAAACACTCTATCCACAGAATCTATTGTTGCACACTTTATTTCATAATCTTGCAAAGATGACTCATCTGCAACAATGCGAATTTCTCATCGCACAAATCCATCACATCAAGTTCCGACATGTTGTCATTAATGCTTCTTTTTCTACGAGCCAAAACGATTTCTGTTTTTCTCGTATGACTCGTCGGTGCAACAGTATTGTAGTGGAGAGACTTGGTCATGATGGTGTTCATCCCAAAATGTTAAATGCCTTTTTCGTCGTAAACCACAGACCTTTTATAATTTCTTTATAATGCCAGTAACTAGTAGTATGTAGAATGTCATATCCAGTATTTTTCATCCATGCATGAAAACCCTTCCAAACACACCTGTGCCACGATAAACGCTGTATGTGTTTTTGATTGGCACTTAACCTCATCTGCTGTGTTCTGTTTTTTTTTCCCCTGTTGACAGATCATTTTGTGGCAAGCGATTCGCAAATAAAAGTGAATGGACGTGACCGCTCAGCCATATCATACGATAAGAGGGATGAAAATACTCCAAAAATGTCGCTGGGTTAGTGGAGCGTAGGCGGGCAAATGGGCAAGAGGAGGTGAAGCTCCCAGACAGCCCTATTGCAGGTTGACTGAAATTTAATTGGCTTGCCTATGATGTAAAAAAGATCTCACGTCAGGAGGGTTTGCAGGAAATTGAGAAACCCTCGGAGAAAGACTTTTTTTTTTTGCCTTCAATATGTTCATTAAAGAGGAAAAGGGGGCAAGGAAAGAAAATTGTCTCTTTCTTGTTGTCATCATTTGAAATGAAAATTGAATCTGAATAACGTCTGTCCATCTAGGGTCTCTTATTCTTGTCCTCATTAGTTTGACGGTTTAAACTGGCGCCGATACCAACCGAGCAAGAGGCGTGAAACACCCTCGACTGGTTGCCAGCCAACTGAAAGGCACGTACAAAACAACCAGTCATGCATATGGACAATTTCGAGCCTTCAATGAAGCTAACAATCAAGTTTTGGGATTGTGAAAGGAAGCCAGCATACTCAGAGAAAACCCACGCAAGCAAACAAACAAGACGGGGCAAATAATGGGGTTTCAATGTCACCATTTTAGAATGGTAACATAAGAAAAAAAACCCCACCCACCCCTCCCAAAAAGTTATCTCTCAAGCCCAGCTTACAACATAACAATAAAAGTAAAACTGTGAGAAAGACTTGATTTGTTATGATTTTGAAACTTCAGTTTGTTACTTGACAATTTTGCAATTTGTCAGGGTTGTTAACGACAATGTCCTGTATGAATGTCAGATTTGCACTTTAGAGCGACTTGTGGATCTCTGATTGTCATTTTTAGTTTGGATTTTCTTTTTTTTGCAAGGAGTCAGTCTTTATCTCTTTCTCTCTCACTCTCTGTCTGTCTTCCTCTCTCTTCTTTCTCTCACCCTGTCTCTCACTATAAGGGACAACAAAAAAGCAGGACGGATTGTGGAGACAAAGAGCAGAAAGTCGCGAACGCTTTTGCGGCAGGTTGTCCCGACGTGACGAGTGTTCCGAAATGCGGTCGAACACGGTTGGAAGCGACACATGCACACAGTAGGCCAGAGTGAGAAAAAAAAAAAGGTCTGAGAATAGAATTGAATAGAATAGAACGAAGACAAACTCTCCTGGTCTATTCCTGAAGAGGTCACTGTGCACCTTGGCATCATGAGACCAAGTGATCAGGAGCAACATTATTTTGTTTTTCTTTTCCACTCTACTTTTACTGACCAACTCTTGCCCCACAACAAGTGTGCGTGCGTGTAAGCATAGGTAGCTTTCATGTAATGGCATGCACATTCTCTCCCTCATAGGTGAACATCATTGGATCTGTGGCTGCACGCTGCATCACTGTCCAATCGCATTTAGGGGGAGCACCAGAGAGAGGGAGAGAGAGAGAAGGCTGGATGGGGAAGGGGGGGGGGAGTTAGCGAGGAAGAGAGGGGGGAGATTGATCGTTCGTCCTGGGCCTTTCACATCCCATCGGACAACCACTTCAAATCCTCTCTTAATGGCCGCTATTGCATTTGGATTACAGGTTGTGAGGATATTTTTTTCTTTTTGAGAGAAGGGAATCTGTTCTGTGCTGTTTTTCATAATTGTGTGTGTGTGTGTGTGTGTTTGTGTGGGTGTGTGTGGTGCGGGGGGTGGGGGGGGGGCAGGTTTGCACTCATAGGAGAGGACGAGCCCGCAAGCAGCATCGGCAGCATCAGCATTAGAAGTCGCATCTCCAAATATCCCATCCCCGACCACGTCGCGCTTCAGCCGCGGTGACACGCGGTGCACCAACGCGGACGTGCGCGCACATTTCAGGCAGCTCTCTGCAGCGCCGGACACAGGTTTGTGCTCTTTATTTAGTTAGACTCACAATATTTAGTCCAGCTATTCACTGCCAATGTATTTTATTTTTAAAATTGCGTTATTGTTTGGAGTATTACTGTTGTTGTGAGGGGGAATGCGGCGTGCGAGGGCGCCCCGCGGGGATGGTTGCACGGTGGCGGGCTGCAGGGGTTTGTCCTGGTAAATGGAGCGTTATTCAGCAGCGTGTGTGCGCGTGATCACCACTGGAATGTTAACTAGCACCTTGGACAGCGCACGCCCGCACACACACTCACACACACGCATGCACGCTCACTCCGCCGCCGTGGTGGTGTGCTGGTGGGAGGAGCGAGGCTGATCACCTCCACACTGTCATATCTGTGCGTGCGTGCGTATGATTAGACTGAATTGATGTTGCACTGTCTGGGCGTCTGCGTGTGTCATAATTCTGCCCTCTGGTCTGCAGGAAGTGATAGCAGCTGTATGCATGCATATGTGTGAGTCTGTGTGTGTGTGTGTGTGTGTGTGTGTGTGTGTGTGTGTGTGTGTGTGTGTGTGTGTATTGAAATGGATAAGGAGTTTGTTTTCGCCATTGGGAAAGAGAAAAAACCTGCACTTGTGCTCAGGGGCTTATAAACAGTCCTTCTGTGGGACAGAGATGAAGACGAAAGCGCGCGCGTGAGTGAGTGTGCGAGGGCGTGTGTGTGCGTGTGTGTGTGTGTTTGTGTGTGTTTGGGAGAGAGAGACAGTGTAATGAAATTAAGATGTGCGCATTGCTGATTAAAAGGGAATACTCATCAATTCCTTGAAATGTGCAGTGTTTCCAGAAAGTAATAAGAAAATCTTTATTGTCTCACAATGGAGAAATTTACAATCTACAGCAGATCACAACGTATTTCAAACGTTGCAAAAGAAATTTTCTTTTACAAAATTTGACACCAAACAATGTCAAATCCAAAACATTACTTTTGATGTTTGTGCAAATTTATGGAAGGGGGGAGGGGGCGGACGTCCCTAAAAATAGCCTGCAGCATCATAGGAACTTAATTGCTGCCGAAGGGGCTTGAACAAAATATCGACTGTGAATACACCGTGAACAAAGGAGCAAATATTTCAATTATCTTTTTTTCCCACCTTGTCATTGTTGCACATTGTCAGTTGAAATTTCAAGAGGTAAATGAACGGTCTGCAGTGAGGAAAAAGGCTACAAAACAATAAAACATGGGGGAGAAAAGAGACTGAATAGTTTGCAGACGCACTCTAATTATTGTGTGCGTGTACTGCACAATAAATAGACAACAAGGTGCATCTTTCAGTGGAGCACAAGAAACATGATGTAGGCCTGCAGTGCATTTTCTTTCAATGAAACGTCACGGTGACCTATTGGTTCACACATCTGCCTCACAGTCTAGAGGTTTTGATTCAAATCTTCACTTTCTATGTGAGGTGTATGCCGAATTTTTCCCCACACACCAATAAGATGCTTGTTAGGCTCACTGAAGACTTGGAATTGTTCGTAGTTAATGCGCGGGGTTGTCTATTAGTGCCCTGTGATTGGCTGACAAGTCCAAGGTGTCGCTCATTGACTCCAGGGAAGACAAACACTGTAGAAAATGGAGAACGCTTTTGAAACATTTTTTTGAAGCCAAATTATGGCTCAAAATGTAAAATTCTGAAGATGATGCAATGCTGAGTCAGGATTGATTGTCAGTTGAGCGTGTCGTAAAGATGTAGTGGCACAGTGGGCTTGGGGAGATGCTAAGGTTAGCCGCTAGTCAGCTAACTGTTGATTGCATAGCTTCTCTACACTTGTTATCAAGGGTAGGGTGCTTCAAATTTGACGGCACTTTTGATTTCTACCTCATGGCTTCTCATTATAATTACGAGTTGCTTGTTTTACCTTAATAAATATGACAGCAGTTAATTCATTTTTACACGTGTGCCGGTTAGTGTTTGAATAGTGACATACGTGAGCCCCCTCTACATTTCGAAATTGTTAGTGTTAGACACTGACTTTATTTTTCAATGTTTTACATTTGGTGTCCTTTTATCAGTTTTCCAAGATGCTTTTTCTAGCTATTCTCGTTGGTCAAAACTGCCTGGGAGATTGACATGGGCGGACAGCAGACGATAAGTTAGCTTAATGCTAGCTAGCTGGTATGAATAATGAGTGAATGAATGAGGCTTTGTAAAGAGATTTGGAGGGCAAATGGTGTGCTACGTCAGTGCACTCCATTTTGATCGAAAAGGTTCACTGAATTAAATGTTCAAATTGTGCTTAATGCTACAGTGGAACAAAAATATTGAATATATTCTTTAGGAATTAAACAATTTCCTTGTTTTTGATCAACACTTGGGCCTACTATGTGACTGTATTTCAATGTTGGCCTTATCTTGGTACTTTGAGTGATAAGTATTTTTTTGAGGGGGTACTTGGTGTAAAAAGTTGGAGAACCATTGGATTATATCATTATATGTATTTATTTGTATAAAGTGATCACAGTCTTGTGTCAAATAAAAGCAACACACCTTTGCTGTCACGAGATGTGTTGAAAGAAGCGTAGAAAACATGCTTCACTCATCCAGATACAAAGTTAGAAGCCTCCAAGCTCTTGACAGAATCAAAGTCCTTTCAAGTGTAGGCACTCTTCTTCACAAAAACAACAACAACAACAACAAAGAATGTTGCTATAGCTCACTTTGAGGAACAAACTGGCTTCATTTGAACAGTCTGAGTTTGAAAGTTTATCCAAGGAGTTGATGTTTTTCCCGCAGTCTTTCCCTCCAACCAACTAAAGTTTTTCAACATAGCGACTTTGAACGACTGGTTCCAATATGTCGATGTGATGGACATAATAGGGACATTTTTCACAAAACGAGACATAAGTAGACAGATGACACTTCTCTTCATGTTTCCGTTTTGCGTTGGTGCCCTTGAATATGGCGCTGAAAACGAAGCATTGTGGGGTCAAATGAAGTCAAAGTGTTATGAAACTGTTTTCCCTGGAATCCCTTGAAGTGCATTTCATTCTTTCATATGCTGTAAAATATCCTTGAGCCCTCAGCATGTCATGTAAAATAAGCAGCTCCCAACCTTATTTTGTGCCACATGTTCCTTAGGAAGCAGTATTTTTTTGGGAGTCTTGCACTCTTTCTCCTCAACAGACGAGACCCGTCTTGAGTTAATGGGAGACAACGACACCCAAGGTGTGTCACTTCCATCCAGTCTACCCTGTAAAATTTGTTTTCGTCATTGGCATGGCCGAAAACCCCTCTTTGCAAAGATAGCGTGTTGAAAATAGAAACTTGTAGCTTCTTGTCTGCCTCATATGACCTTTTCCTCTTTGCAAAGAAACTCTCCAAGGACTTTTGTTTTTTACTCATTTTTGCTAGCTTCTGGGTTGACTTTTTTGGGCAAGTACAACAGTTCAAGGCATTTTAAAAACAAGGAACAAAAAACATTAAAAAAAAAAGACAGCTTACCGAAATTACGAAAACGAGATACATTGAAAAAAAAATTCAAGTGCTTTAATTAAGGGTGAAAAAAAAAAGAAAAAAGTTCTGAACCCAGATTTTAAAACATGACTGATACAAGCGTTGTGTATTGAGGCACAGGCGGATGCACCTGATATTTAAAATAAAATTTCTTTCAAACTCTGAACAACAGTAAAATATTTTTTGTTGAGTCTCTGATTCTATGACTTAAAAACATTCCCTCTGCAGTGAATATTTTATTCGTGCGGCAGTTCAACACTGGCGGAGATTAATTCAATTTCCATCATTTCCTCTTGGGGAAATATTTGGAAATCCTAACCTTTGATCGACCTTCCACTCTATACGTGTGTGTGTGTGTGTGTGTGTGTGTGTGTGTGTGTGTGTGTGTGTGTGTGTGTGTGTGTGCGCGCATGTGTCTGTATGATAAAATTAAGTCAGTGTATTTGTAATTGCAACTGTACTGTGCTGGGGATACAAACACTGCGTGCATGTGTGAGACCGAGATAGAGAACGTGTGTGCGCAGGCTTCCTAACACCACTAGGGTCAGGAGCTCATGTGTGTTCATGGTTTAATTAAGCATGTGACGTGACTCTCCACCCTCTCAACACTAACCCACTTCCCCCATGCACCACTTTGCCCTCCACAGGATCTTGGGATGCGTGCACTGGCGTAGCAGGGGAGTGACATATGTCTGCAGCTCACACTCGCACACATCAGTCCTGACACGCCGACACACCAGTTCAAGCTGAGCAGTCACCATGAACGGCGCCGTTTCCTTTTTTATTTACACATGTAAGTCTATTATGGGGGTGGGTATGTGGAGAAAAGTACACACATGCATATATACTATGTGTGTGTGTATATATATATATACAGTATATAATATAAATATTTCAAGCATGAAGCATGAACAGCCTTTTAAGGTCCATTCCATTCAGATTCAAGTCCTGACTTTGACTACGCCACTACCAAACCTCCATTTTTTTTAAAGTCATTCAAAAGCCAATTTGCTGGTGTGTTTTGGATCTTTGTCCTGGCAAGTGACTCAACTCACTTTACAAAAAGCGGCTGTAAATGAGAATTAGAAATGTTTTTCAAAAAAGCTCTCCAAACTGTTTATTGCCACTCTCAGTTGAAGGTTGCTGTCAAACTAAACATAAAAGAAAGAGAATTAAACGTGTGTTCATACAACCACATAACAGGCTCATGCTAATCTAGAATGGGAAACTCCATTGGCACCCGGGTTTACAGTTAGCGTTTTTTTGTAGCAGTGCTTTTGCTCGCCTTTAAGCAATGTATACAACCATTGCTTTAACACAGGGAGACAGATGATCTGTGAAGAATGACTTACATTACTGCCGTACTGAGATAGTGCCTAGCTCTCAAATACAGCACTGTATATTCTTATGTCTATCTTATAAAGCCCCGAGGTGGCCAACGTTGGAATGAGCAGCACAATGTGCATTGAGGGAGAGTGACAAAAGCTATTGAATGTGCATTTTTAAAAAAATGTGTGCTTAATTCACGTTTTTATTAAGTATAATATTAAGGACTGCATTTGTTTCTCACAAAAAAAAAGTTACAAAATTATTTGGTTGTTTTGTGGGTGGGGTGGGGGCTGGAACAAATCACTGGAATTTGTCTTCATTTCAGTCAGGAAAAATGTTTTGAGATACTATTGTTCAAGTTACAAGCCTCGACAGAGAACAAATTAAATTTGTAACACTGGAATATACAGTCTTGAAATTTGTCATTAGTAATTATATGTATACAATACAATAAAAATGTTAATTTTACTCTCATTTATAACTACATTGAAAAATCTGAGAAACAGATAATTTCCCAGTGGTCTTCATTTTTTTCAGAGCACGTGTGTGCGACATTCTGGCTTGATTTACACTTCGATATCATTGACGAAGACTAACGATGTCATTCTGTCCTTTCCTTTCTCCATCGTTGTTTCCTCCTCCTCCTCTTCTCTTCCAGGAGGCAGTTTGGGCTTGTCATGGGGTTGAGCGGAAGGAGAGAGTGACAGAGGAACAGTGATGCTACTGTTTACATAACAAGACATTCACACACACACACACACACACACACACACACACACACACACACACGCACACACACACACACACACACACACAGACGCAAAGGGAATGACGCCAAGTGACTCACCACACACTCAGAGGCACTGAATGACACACACACACGCACACGCACACACACACACACACACACACACACACACACACACACACACACACACACACACACACACACAGACAAACACACACACAAGAGGGAAAAGTTATTTGCAAGGGTCAGGGTGTGTGCGCGCGATGTGTTTATGGGCCAAGCTGCATGAGAATGCCGGATACCACTGAAGGCTCGTAAACCATCATAAAACGGACATTACCCAATATCCCTTCGCCATGCCCGAGCCGACGAGGAGAAGGCGAGCTTCTCGGCAAGCCTCGTCTCTCCTCAGACTCATCTCCTCGCTGCCCGCCGTCTGTCTCCTCCACCTCAGCCTGTGCGCAACCCGCTCGTGGGCCCAGCAGACGGTGCCCATCGTGTCCACGGCGCAAGGGCGCATCCGTGGCATCCTGACCCCACTGCCTTCTGACCTCCTGGGCCCTGTCATCCAGTACCTGGGGGTGCCCTATGCCAGGCCCCCGACCGGGGACCGGCGTTTCCAAGCGCCCGAGCCGCCCTTACCGTGGCCCGGAATCCGGAACGTGACCCAGTTTGCGCCCGTTTGCCCGCAATCCTTGGACGAGAGGAGCATACTGGGAGATATGATGCCCTCGTGGCTCACGGCCAACTTGGACATCGCGGCCACCTACCTGACCCACCAGAGTGAGGATTGTCTCTACCTCAACATCTACGTGCCCACCGAAGAAGGTGAGGATGCATGTCAAAGTCTCAGCATTCCTAACTGGCATCCAAAGACAAAAAGAAGTCATACGGTACACAGAAAGCCTTGCGTGATTGCATTTCACCATTCACAAATCCACCCATTCATGTGGATGCCGTCAAAGCCCTGCTTGCTGTGAAGTGGTGTCAAGGTACACGTATACACAAAATTCAAACACAACAATCATAATAATCATAAATAAATCCTCCCTTCCAATCAAAATTCTGCATGTGCATGTACACTTGCATTTACAATTTCTTCTTGAATGGTAAAACACTTTTTGTCTCTTGAAAATTGAATACAGCGAGCTTTCTGAAATGCTTTGCCTCCCAGTTCAGCTTCGCTTTGTACAGCAGTTACCTTCATTTTACTCTTGTATGACTATTAAGTATGTTACAATGTTTCTCACGTTGCCTGGACAGTCAGTGAAGGTTTTTTGATGACTTAGGTTTGACCTTGAAATTACTATCTTGTATTTCTTGTTGTAATTATTAAAAAAAAAAAATAAATAAATAAATAATGATACCAATAATTTGGAAATGAGCATACTGGATCAGCTTGTGTTTGATTTTAGTGCTTCCGCTGTAATTCTTCCTTTTGCATGCACGAGCTGGAGCTTAAAATGCAGACACCTGCGCCAGTTGCTGTGGGGTTTGCGCCTCTACTTGTGGAGAGAAGTGAGAAGGACAAAGACTCACTCATGCATGCAGAGTGGTTCATACATGCCGAGTGTGCGCGCGCGCACACACACACACACACACACGCACTTGTTTTTTTTCTCCATAACTAAAATGAAAACTATCACATGCCTCCATTTATATCCACTTGTAGAAAGATTAAGATAAGAGGGCCGGGGGGCAAAGCAGAAGGATGCAGGGGAGGTTCCACCTGCTCGCAGATTGATTCAACGCATACAAACAGACAGGAGGCCAATCAAGCTGTCACTCGCTATTACACACACACACACACACACACACACACACACACACACACACACACACACACACACACACACACGCAAATTCATTCTCTCTCTTCTCTCAGACATTCACGAGGAGGGTGGGCAGAGGCCCGTGATGGTCTACGTCCACGGCGGCTCATACACAGAAGGCACCGGCAACATGATGGACGGAAGCGTGTTGGCGAGCTACGGCAACGTCATCGTCATCACGCTCAACTACCGCTTGGGCGTACTCGGTAAAGTAATACCGTACTCGGAAATGATGTGCAAAAGTGTGCAAGATGTATCAAACTGCTGCGCTCTAGCCCCCAACTACTGCTGAGGAGGACCGACTCAATGTCACATTAGGATTTTTTATTTTTAAATTTATTTTTACCGAAAGTATCAATGGCTGGCATTGGCAGCCTTTATGATTACCTGATACCATATAATAAGGCCGGTATGGACTCAATACTTTACCCGTATTGGTATTTGGTACATCCCCAATTTCAGCATTACATAGAATGATACATAACATATTTGCTCATATAGAGGCAAGGGGTGTTTACTCAACTGAACTAAGTTCTAGGGATGTGTTCGGCCAGGGCATTTATGGAGGCGGAGGATTGTATTTGCACATATCCATTTGCTAAAGAAGATTGTTTTTGACAAATAAATGATAACACACTCCACCTCTTGTCTAGTCAGCTGGGATAGGCTTCAGCTTTTTTCAATTAGAAAGAGCTATGACGAAAAGAAGCGCCTCTTTCAGTTCAACATAGCTGCTTGGCATCAAGATGCCACCAGATGGCACCATAGCAATATATTTTTTTATTTTAGACATGGCTCTGGCTTGAGCACAAAACCAGCAAAGTGTTGGGTTATTCAGCAAAGAACGGCGGATAAGAATCTTAGTTTTTTTGCATTTCAAATGTTCTGCTCATGCTTGTCATGTTTCCCTCTGCCTTAGCTGTGAATGCGAGCGTGGATGCTTGTTTTTCTTTCTGTGGCCTGCCAAGTGTGGTGTGTGTTTGGTTGTGTATTGATTAGTTTGCGTCCAGCCTCTCTTAGAGCTCAGGCCGTTTGAGGAAATACAGTAAACGATCTGGGCACCCTGCACACCGTGTGTTCATTTTTTTACTGTTCTAAATGAGTGTGCTGTATCCTCCGTAAAACATTTGTTTGTATGCAAACAATGCATGCTGAACTTTACCATTTTTTTTTTATTTACCACTCTGCCCTTTAGAGAGGAGCAGCATCAGTATAATTACCAATGATGCTATTTTTGGCCCGCTAATATCATTGCACACTTGCTGAATGAGAATTAAACCGGATGAGCGGAGCTAATTTTTTTGGGGGGTGGGAATTGGACTGAAAAAGCTGCAGACAAGCAGAAAGGTCAGCACGTACATACCTGAACATATCATACACACAAATGATTAAGTGATTTTACAAACATGTTCAATTAATACAACAAATATTGTATTAAAATGAATGGAATCAAGTGAAAAATATGCCCTAGCAACCCAGCCTGCCCACCAAATTTAGCCCAATGTCAACATGCTGACGCATGACTGTAATGTAATGGAATGTAATGAAATACAATCTATTCTTATATAATATAGAAACATTTAATACTGTACATTCCATTGTGAGACAAATAAAGGTTTTCTTATCTTATTAATACTATAATGCACCTGTCATAAAGCTAAATGAGCCATCCTAATATTAATTAATCTTGTCTTGTACGACACCTGTTGCAATGTGTTAACTTTATCTTGACGGGTTAGTGCACAAAGCCTCCATTGATTGAATATGATGTAATCCTGACCGCATTGATAAAACACAAATAATAATAATTAAAAAAAAAAAAAACACGACTGGCATCATTTTTATGTGGGCCACTGAGCGTATAAGCAGATATGTTACATTGTATACTTTTGCGCGAACACATTATTTTCTTTAAGTAATCATACATTACACCTCTATTTCCATGAATAATGATGATGCCATTCGCGCCCACTACTTCTCCAATGTGTTCACAAGGTTTGCGAGCTGACACAGCACGTTTTCTCATTAGTGATTAGTAATCATTTTCCCCTGAAGTGGTATTAAATATGTAGTTCAAAAAATGTATGCGAGAAGCATTTATGTGCTCAGTTTCCTTAAATAATTAAAAAGCATATTATATATTCCAGCTTTGAGAGCAGTTCCACATGCAAATCATGAAGATAATTTTGCCCAAGGTGGAGGCGCGTATCTCTGCGAAGATGTTCAAGCCCAATGACTGTGGCTGAGGTTTTTACAATTAAAATATTCAACAATGAAATCACAGTGATATGTAACGCTGACTGGGCCTTTGAGGATTGCTTCAACGATCATGAAACATTGATCCCATGTTCCGTCCATGTTGGATGCCTTGGTTTTACAAAAGCTTCACAAATGGCGTCACCCATTTTTCGAGTGCAGTTTTTGGGAGAAAAAAAACTAATGATGCTCTCATTTGAATTCAAAATTCACTTAGTCATTGTGAAATTGTGATTGGTCGCATGAAAATCAGCACTTCGAAATCTCTTCTAAATCTTTCTCAACGGGAAAAGGGTGCAGTGCTTTCCCTGTTGGGGAGGAGATCCTCGTTCAAGTTTCTTGGGCTCTTGTTCACAAGTGAGGGAAGAGTGGAGCGGGTGATCGACAGGCAGATTGGCGCAGCGTGTGCTGAGGTGCAGACTCTCTCTATCCGTCTGTTGTGATGAAAACGGGAGTTGAAAAGGTGAAGCTCTCGATTTGCCCGTCGCTCACCTGTGATCATGGGTTGTGGGTCATGACCGAGCCAGCAAAATTGCGGACACAAGCGGCCGAAATAAGATTCCTCCGCAGAGTGTCTGTGGTCTCCCTTAGAGATAAGGTGAGAAGCTCGGTCATCTGCGATGGACTAAAAGTAGAGCCGCTGCACGTCCGCATCGAGAGGAGCCCGGCGAGGTGTTTGGGCACATACCATTTGGAGATGGGATACATGAAGGGATTGAGTGGGGCTAGAATCTTAAAAAATGTTGCAGGCTCAATTCACATTTACTCTTAATTTCTTCAAAAATATTTAGGTGAAGGATTGCACTCATTTAGATTTGAAAGAATATTGCTTGGTGAAAACTAATGGGGCTGTCCCATATTAATTCAACAACAAACCTCAGGACTCCTCACAAAGACTGAAGTCTCTGTAGAAGGTATAGTCTGGACTTTCCTGCTGATACTGCTGCCCCTGAGACCCAACCGTGGCGTTTGCAAAACTGAATGAGTTTTCAGGATTGTTGGATCCTCCAAATGGCGATTCATTTGTCAAAAGAATTATGTAAAGCCATTTCAAGCAGGCCTTCTCATCGCCTGGTACTTGGGCCCCAATGATTTGAGCTGAGGAGAGGCTCATCGGTTTTAACAAATGACACAAATCTGCTGCTTCTTCATGGATGTATACCCCAAAAAAATAAAAATAAAAATGGTTCATTAAGTTTGTTGAATGGCTGGAATTTTAATGACTATTCAGGTCGACCAGAACGATCCCGTTTGTGTTTTAATCATCTGCGTCTTCTGTGTTTACATCACCTCTATTAAGATCATGTTCATCATCATCATCATCATCATCATCATCATCCTCCATCACGGGTGACGGCGTCTTCACCCGTTCTTCGTCAAACTTGTTGGATGTGTGAGGTGAGCCGGCGGATGCAAATCACGCAGTTTCTTTCTCCTCTTCCTAATCGTATTCGGCGGGAACTCGAGCATATCTTGAACAGTCTTACAAAATTCCAATGCTGACCCAGATTTTAGTGTGAACGCATACAGAAGATTCAAAGCGACCCAAAAAAGGAAACCAGCTTTAATTGGCCATTAATATGCTGCTTGTTTGAGAGGATTACTGGTGTGGGTTATAAAATGAATGAGTTTCACTTTTTTTTTTCTCATTCATTCTTCTCTCATTGCACTGAATGAGCTTCTGCACAGATGAGATTCTTTAAAAGCAGAGTGTTGAAATTGTGTCCAATGGTGGAAGCCAGCTAGCCCGAGGATGTTTTGAAAGCCGAGAGATATATTTGGAAATTAAGAGTTTCAAGACAGAGTTAAGGTTTCAAGCAAAGTGTAAAAGAAAGGCCTTTATGGTCGGGTGCGGGTTTGAAGTTAGGGTTCATAAGAACAGTCTCAAGACAGCGCTTGGCTTCCAAATTTCGTCTAAGATTAGGGTTTGAAGCCAGGGTTAGATTTTAAGTTGGGGTTTAGTATTAGGGTTTCAAGACAGAATTAGGGTTTTAAGTTAAGGTTGAAGTAAAGGTTTGGGGTTCAAGGTTCGACTTGTAAAGGGTTTCAAATTGGGGTTACAAGACATGTTTAAAGTTTGAAATCAGGGCTTCAAGCTTGCTTTTCAGCTGCGAGTTAAGGTCCATAATTAGGGTTTCAAGCAAGTGTATGGGATTGAAATTGGGGTTTCAAGATAGGATATGGTGTCAAGCAAAGATTTTTTTCTATTTCATCTTAAAATAGAATAAGGTAATTGTTTCTAACCAGGTTGAGGTTTTCAAATGATACGATCCAGCATGGGTTCAGGGTGCAAAATAGATTAGTCTTTCAAATAAGGGATTTGAAAAAACGGTTTGGGTTACATTCCAAGCAGCTACACACCTTCAGCGTGAATTGTGTACATTATTGAATATGATGATACACACGGTGTGTTGACACAGTGTGTGCCTCCGCAGGATTTCTGAGCACGGGGGACCAGGCCGCCAAGGGCAACTATGGCCTACTGGACCAGATCCAAGCTCTGCGCTGGGTCAAGGAGAATATCGCGGCCTTCGGAGGAGACCCAAACAGGGTGACCGTGTTCGGATCCGGAGCCGGCGCTTCTTGCGTTAGTCTTCTCACTTTGTCTCACTACTCTGAGGGTAAGTAAATAACTAAGCTGCAGTCACCATGTTAGCCACATTCTTTTAGTTCAATAAGTAACACAGTCTCCTCACTTTGTCTCACTACTCTGAGGGTGAGTAAATAACTAAAGCTGCAGTCAGCATGTTAGCCACATTCTTTTAGTTCAATAAGTAACAGTTAAAAAAAAAATACTAAATAAATAAAAATGATGGATAGTAGCCAGAGACAATATTCAAACTCTAAACGTGACAGCTGTGTGGCAGACATGACAGCCAATTTTCCAGAGTGCTATTCATCACCCCACAGTTTAAATTCTAAACACAATAATAATACACACACACACACACACACACACACACACACACACACATCCTCCTCGGAACGTGATTACAATTTGTCTTCCTGTCTGCTTCAGATTTGTTTCACAGGGCCATCATCCAGAGCGGCAGCGCTTTAGCCAGTTGGGCTGTCAACTACCAGCCCAGCAAGTACGCGCGACAGCTGGGGGAGCGGGTGGGCTGCGGCATCGACGACAGCACCCAACTGGTGGCCTGCCTCCAGGGCCGCAGCTACAGGGAGCTCGTGGAGCAGCACGTCACGCCGGCCAAGTACCACACGGCTTTCGCGCCGGTCATCGACGGGGATGTGATACCGGACGACCCGCAGATCCTGATGGAGCAGGGGGAGTTTCTCAACTACGACGTGATGCTGGGGGTGAATCAGGGCGAGGGGGTGAAGTTCGTGGAGGGCATCGTGGACTCCGAGGACGGCGTCACGGCCGAGGACTTCGACTTCGCCGTGTCGGACTTTGTGGATAGCCTGTATGGATACCCGGAGGGCCGCGATACGCTCAGAGAGAGTATCAGGTAAAAATGTTTCCATCATGTTTTTAAGTCGTAGTGTCGCCGTTTTACATCTTTCAAAGGACGGTTAATGTTTTACAAATTAGAAATAAATAATTCAGATGTGAGAATGTGTGACCTAAGGTTTTAAAGTAATCTTGCATTTAAAGTAGCGTTTGGGTTTCAAAGTAGGGTTTTAAACTAGGGTGAAGGTTTCAAGGTCGAGTTTTGAACTAGGGTTTGGGTTTCAAAGTAGGGTTTTAACTCTGGGTTAGAGTTTCTAATAAGCGTTAAAAACACTATACTGTAGTTAGCGTTTCAAAGTAGGTATTGTAAGAAGGGTTACAAATTAGGGTTAGGATTTCAAAGGAGAGTTTTAAACAAGGGTTCAAGTGGGATTTTCAAGTAGGGTTTTAAACTAAGGATAGGGTTTTAAACAAGAAAATTACACATTGATTCCCAATGACACATTTGAAAAAGCATTCGTTACATTCGATAACATTTCACATCATTGTATATTTCTCAATCTTTCTCCATATTTTTCAATATCAATCAAAATCATTCCATGTCTTTCCATTCAGCATTTCAGCCTTTCAGAAAATTGCAAACATCTAGTTTTGATTATAAGTCTGATACATTTTTCTTGTTAACTTTTGTTCGTCTCAGTCCCTAAATTGGCTCAAGTTCGTTGTAATGTTTTCTTTTAGGATTTTATTATCTTAACATAGAGGCTGAATAGGAAAACAGCGTCATGATACATTAGCACGTCATGTCTATTTCGCTTGAGTGCTAAAGGACTCATTTTAAGCGATGGTTTGTTACAATCACGTTGCTAAGCAACTGTTGGAAAATGACTCGCAAATGGCGCTTGTTTCTTCTGTTTCCTGCAACCGCATGCGACATGGCAACTAGTTTACATTCAACGGAGCATTTCTGATGACTTGAAGCCACCATATTTTTCAGCTGTTCACTGGCCGACACAAAAATCTATGTTGTCATGTATTTTCGTGGTGAATGATTGATCGATAATGTCCTGAATTGATTGGCTCAACTAGCATGCCTTTCGTGTTTCTCTCCCAAAGGTTCATGTACACGGACTGGGCCGACCGTGACAATGCCGAGACCCGACGGAAGACTCTGGTGGCGCTGTTCACAGACCACCAGTGGGTGGCTCCGGCAATCGCCACGGCGGACCTCCACGCACAGTACGGCTCACCCACCTACTTCTACTCCTTTTACCACCACTGCCAGAGCGAAGCCACGCCCCCCTGGGCAGACTCCGCACACGGTGATGAGGTAAGATATTAAATCCTTACCTCCTTATCCTGTTAAATCCTTATATTGAACTGTTTTTGTTATTTTGTGAGTCCCAGACATGACATTTGGGAAATATTTTTCAATTATGGCCACAAAATACTGCAATAAATAACTAAGGAATAATGTGGGCACCCAATACTAATTTGTGGCAGTAAAATAACTGTTGCTTCATTGTGGCCAGTTGGATAAGCAAATCAAGCACACCATCTGTGACCAGAGCAATACAATGGCTGAGGATAGTGTTGAATTTAATTTGAGGCTGGGGATGAGCAGTAAAGATATTCTGAAAAGCTTGCCATCACAAGGAATTATTCATTGTGTATTGCTACGGTATTATTTCTAGCAAAAGTATGCTCCATATGCTTACCTAGGTGTCCAAGTTGTTCATAGGAATGATCTTAAACCCCAAATTTGTATTTTGTGCGCAACATTTTGTGGTCACAAATGAGCATTTTGTCTGAATGTCATTTCTTACGCTCTGTGCAACTAAAAACGGGAAAAAAAATGATCATGGAAATTTAGGGGCTGAAAACACAAATAAATGTTCTATGATTTGGAGATGTATTGATTGTTTGGTGAAAAATAACGCTCCAAAATTCCAAGATTTTTTGGGGATTCCAATCCCATAGGTGTTAATCCGAGTGTGAATGATTTTTTTGTCTATATGTGCCCAGTGATTAGCTGACGGCCAGTCCAGGGTGTACCCCGCCTCACGCCCAAAATCAGGGCGAGAGGCAAGTTCTGAGAGAGCATGTAAACTCAAGATTTGAGCCCCAATTCTTGTGTCATGCTAAGCATTAAGTCATATTCTTTACCGTTAATTGTATACATTAAGGAAGCATGTTCACTTTTTGACAGCTGAGGGGAAATTTCACCTTGAAAGAGGGGCACTGTGACAATGATTGACATGTGAGATCGTCCAATGATTGCATGAGCTTGATACCAGCAGTACTTTGAGGGAGGAACACCGAGCACATAGGTTTTACTTTGTAAGCCAACCAAATTGAAGTTCAACTCAACAATAATTGTGGTCAAAACTTGCCGAGCTCATACATTTTCAATATCAGATTGTTTCACACCAGACTTATTTATTATACAAGAACAAACTATATGTTTTTAGAAGACTTTAGTATCTAAAGGCAGAATGCTAGCAGTTAATGGAGATGGACTGCGGCAGCATCTCTTCCCGCCCACCTGCACGCCGCAATCCTGAAAGTGTGCCGATAAGGCCGACCCTACACACAGTTTTTTCGTCGTCAGCTTCATAAATATGTAGCTCTTTCTTCCGCCTCTCTTTTACGACTCCATTAAACGGACCGCGCTTCTCGGGTCGGACATGCTAATGTTAGCGTAGCTGCAGCTAAGGGGTCTGATGTGCCTGACTGCTTCTTGTGGTTGATCAACATAAATCTAGCAACAGAGGAGAGGTGTTGCGCTCATGGTTGCCTGCGGTAATAATCACGCTTGTGGAAAATATTATATATTACAGTGATAATAAAACTGGCAAACCGCAAATCTCGTGTGAGCAGTAGCACACTGTCATCCGCTCAACCCACAACGTGGAGATTGGATTTTTTTATTGTTGATGCTAGACTGAGGATGTGTAAAAGATTAATGGTTAAAGAGATTTAAAAGATTCAGAGAATGTTTGGTGACTTTAGAAGAGCTGCTTATTATACCTAACCGGCGTGAAGGCTTTTCAATTCACACAGTTTTCAATACTGTATTCCCTTTTCAGACATTTTTTGTATATTTACCTGGGACTATATTAAGTATCTGACAAATGAAACATCCAAATTTGTAATTCTATGGATGAATGATAAAAATAGCAACTTACTCCAATACGCAAGCGGGTGAATCTATAAAAAATTACTGGATTCAGTCATGTTTGGGCTTTAACAGAAGTCGGCATTTTACAAAATGTTGCCAGTCTGTCATTTGTCATCCGTCAGTGGCCTGGCCGTCAATTTTTCAAGCTGAACCAAACTGTAATGGTTAGTCGGTCAGTCCGTCATGTTATTTTAACCGCATTCCCGAGAGAAAATTTCACCGGTCCGCTAATCTTGCTATCATCAGTCTGTCAAACACCCCCCTCTCTAAAAATGTCATTGTCCAACAGATAATAAAATCCACTGTGATAAAAATGATAAATGGGGTGCACTATATGTCAGTGTATCTATATCATAGGATGGGAGTTCTACACACACATACACGAACATACATTTCATATACACTTATTTGCCAATCTACTGACCTGTAAAAGTAAAGTGGAGGCATGCTGGTGGCTGCCTGCAACTGTTTTAACCCCTAAAACGCCAATCGGTTTCAATTCAAAATTTAAAATTGCTAATCCTAACCAGAATGTTGCTTTGCATTGTTGCCAAGGTGAATTCCAATCCAAGTCGATTGTACTCCAACACCTGTCCATAAATGCTCGTGGTCTGCTTCTTCTTCTTCTTGGTTCATTGGTAAATTACAGCTCTTTGGTGCATACTGCCACCTATTGTACAGGAAGCACAAAGCTTACTTTATTACACATTAGTTAATGGCCCCATTTTTCATTTTGCACTCGACAAATACTCCATAGACTAAAAAAAAAAAACGAAAACTAATTCTAAAACTAAAGCAAAATGGAGCATCAATTTCAATAAAATATAAGAAACCCACTTTAAAAATGAATTAAAACTAACTGAAAACAAAAGTCAAACCAAAATAAAAACTATGATGAAAAATACAAAACTATTGTAATCCTAAACACTCAAATACTTTCAAAGTCCACACTCAGCACTCACTATGTGTGCGTCTGTGCATACGTGCAGCTCTGCGAATAGTAGGACACGGTCGCACTGGATCTCAGTTCCCAAATGATTAGACGCGACCTGTCAAGCTGAAGATGAGTTTAGAGAAATGACTTTCAGCTCCCTCAAGCATGAAGACGTGTCTACCTCCGCTGACACTGTGACATCACATTTTGCCATGAGTCATTTAAACTTAGGTTTCCTGTCAAGAGAATGTAACCTGTCACACTAAATGCCCCCTCCCACTGACATCTTTGTGTGTGTGTGTGTGTGTGTGTGTGTGTGTGTGTGTGTGTGTGTGGCGTAGGTGCCGTATGTATTTGGCGTGCCCATGGTGGGTCCCACCGATCTGTTCAACTGTAACTTCTCCAAGAACGATGTGATGCTTAGCGCCGTGGTGATGACCTACTGGACCAACTTTGCCAAGACGGGGTGAGTGTTTACAAAAGCACACGGATGCGCGAAGGATTGATTTGCCCTCCGAGGAGATGTTGTGTCTTTTAACTGACTACTGCAAGAAGCCAAAAGACAAAAGCACAGCTTCAGCATTCTTCACATCTATTTATATCAGCCCTTCAAGACACACGCATCCATTTGTAATTTGTTTTTTTTTTTTGGTTTTTTTTTAAAGCTGCAGTGCGCAACTTTGCTAGCCCCCCTTTGGCCAGACTACAGTTACTTCCATGCATGGGCGTATTTACTGGAGACCTTTTTCCCCATCTCAATATAGCAGCCATAAAAATACGGAGCACTGATTATTACATTATACTGGGTGTTGCAAAAAAAAAAAAAAAAAAAAAAAAGTGGAATATATGTACACAACTACATGTCAGCGAAACAAAATTTAAAGTCGGTCTCATGTTGAAAAATAAAAGATGTATTCATCAAAGCTAAAACAATATGTTCAAATGGGTTTTCTCACCGATTTCATAAAGCTTCACAGAAAGCAATATGAGCACCGCCTGTGAGACGAAACATTTCCCTTTTTTCATTCCTCTCTGAATGTTTGGTACCATACCCAAATGTACTTTCTCGTTGGTTTATTTTTAGTGAATTTCCTGAAAAAAAGCACACTGCAAGGGCTTGTTTGACCTTGTTCCACGACATTCTCACACGCAGTCTTTTTAATGCTCATAAATGTCATTCTTCAATCTTCACCCGGAAAATAAGAAAAAGCAAACATAAAATTAACATTAAAGTTAAGCTTCATCATTTGAGCAAAAATTGACTATGCTCTGTTATATCGACTACCTTGTGAGTCACAGAACAGTATTCTGTGAACGTGTATCTAGCGCGAGTCCTCCTTGGGGTTGCGGGTGAGCTAGAGCAGTGATTCCCAATCTTAATTGAGCCAAGGCACATATTTCAAGTTTGAAAAATCACACGTTACACCACCAAACACACTTGTCACAAAAAGAGGATACAAATATCAATTTCATCCTTTTTGCCATATTATAGAAGATCATTTATTTGTTCTTGATGTCATTATAAATCGCCAGCATAGATAGAGGGACAATGATACATTATTTGCAAATAAATCAATATCTCACCAACTAAGTGAAAGCCCAAAGATTCCCACTATAGAATTGAAAATATGCTCTACTAGAATAAAGAAAAAATGGACATTCATTGTAAAGAAAGGAGAAAAAAGATTTCACATTGTGAATACACGCTGCCTGTGTGGGCAGCACAAGAGCAAATTTCTTCCATGAGAGAAATAAGAGCCAAGATTCCTGCCGCCTTTGCTCGTAAAACCCAAACACCTCCTCACATGAAATCACATTTTCTTTGTTGCATTCTCAGGCACGTCAATAGCAAGTGCTTGTTTTATAAGACACAGATAGGCCCAAACAGCCCATCAATGTGCACATACAATACATTTATTATACACTACTGTCGAATACCATGCCTGTTGTCATTGTGCAGTGCGTTACTATACGTTGTTGTTGGCTTAGCCTTATTCTGCCGGCCTCCTGAAGCGTGTGTGCATCCTTCATAGACAATGCTAAACACACCAAACAAAATGACACACTCTCCAGTCGGGACAAGGTCACTCATAAACACACCGGGACGCACGTCAGGGATGATTTAGAGTCTAAATTTTAGACGCAAGATGCCGCATTGGCCCGCACTGACCACCTCTGCCACCCCTGCTCAATGAACAGCCTGTTCTCACAAGCCATCATTACAGCGGAACCTCCAAAGCTGAAAAGAATCCGTTCTCAAACGCTGGTTGTTGTAATTTCGAAAATTCATTTTTTCCGTAAAGCTACAACGTCAAGCGAACGCTAACATTAGAAAACTTTAAACTGTACTAGCGATGTTTTTAGTAAGGTTTTAACTTTCTTCGTTTCATACAAGTGTATATTTGAATAAAACGACCAAGAAATAAAACTTCTTACCCTTTAAAGCTAAGTCGATTTACAAATAGGAAAAAAATAATAATTTTGATGGAATACTTCTCTGGTCATGTTCAGGTTTGCTTTGTGCTTGATGCTATATACGTTTACACATTTATGAAGATAATTTACATTTAACTTAGGTGTGCTCTATTGAACAGCAACAGGCATTGAGGCAACTTCTTTTCCCACATCATTAACATGAGAAACAACTGACCAGTATAATCGTCGTGCACTTGTTGATCAGCAGTTTTTTATTTAATGCCTTAATGACATCTTGGATCACTGATAGTATCGTGATTCGCCCGCCTGACTTAACACGCAGGCAGTGTGCTCACCCATGACCCGAAGGAGGACAAGTGCCATACACTGCAAATCATAAAATCTGAGCTTGAATATCTCAAACCAAAATCTGCTTTTGTCTGTCAAGGTATTTCTTCTTACACTAGAAAAAAAATGGTGTTGAATTTATCCATCCATACATCCATTTTCTAATCCGCTTATCCTCACAAAGGTCGCGGGGGTGCTGGAGCCTAGGTGTTGAATTTACTCCATTTTATTTCATCAAGTGGCTGCACAAAACAATCTGGATCCAGATTAATTTTTAAAATAGATATACAGTATATTCTACTTATACACCTGTTCTACGATTTTGGTCATGTGACCTTCGAAAGCTGAGCCGTGAATATTCATTAACTGAGCTTTGAGCATTGTGATGTCATTTTCCGTGCACAGCAAGTGACAAAATGGCCGCCCTCTGAGATGACAGGTGGCTTTTGCTGCTTAATTCACATTCCACTTAAACAAGATTAATCAGAATGTCGTGTTTAGCCGGAAATTAAAGAAAATTAAAAAGAAGTGAATAATGCCTCAGGTGTAGTAGGTGCTATGAATACATTAATTTTTCAACACCCGAGGGGGATTTTGGGATGAGCTACGTTTAGCTGTTTTGCCAAGTCAGAATTTCCTGTTATATTGGCAGATATTTTTGCTTAAATTTAGTCATATATTCGTCATTTCTTTGCTTGATTTTTTTTTTTTTTGCTGTTTAGAAGATGGAATGATATGTGGTTGTCATCACAGTTTTCCTCTTCGCTATTACTGGTACAATGCTGTGGCGGAATCATTAAAAAAATAAATAAACAAAGAACACATGCAAAAAGCAGACGCTCAATGAACTTAAGACTCTCGGGTTTTTCACGCATGATTGCAGTTTGAAGTTTCGTTTTCTTTTTTGCGTATATTTTTCCACTACCTTCATATTGAAATTCAAATTGTGCCAACGTCACGACCAGACAAGCAAAAGATATGACTAAACTTGACCTTAATGTAATCCGGAAAGCAAACAAATGACACTTGAAAAGTGCATCGTGATTTAAATGCCGTTTGTCACAACAGCATCTTGAAGCTTTTCTTTGGACTGCGACTGGGCGAATCCGAGATGCCTTTTCAAACCACTTTTCACCAATGAAAGCCGAAGCGACGTAATAAAAGAAGAGGGCGCCGTTATTCCTGCCTCCTTTATAATATCATATGAAAATGAACTGCCACTTGTTGAAAAATGTTTCTGTAGATCCAATTTAATTATCTCAAAGTGGAAGTACATTAGTGGCCGTGGAAAATCCAGAAAGACTCCACATGAAAACGGTCAAAATGTGACAATACAAGCTTATGAGGGGACCTTTTATCGCTTTGCGCTGACAACACATTCGAGATAAAAGCATTGGTTGTGTTTGGACCGTCTTTCAGCGCTCCAAGTGAGTCGTTCCCAGTAATTAATCCATTGGAGGCACGCTCCACCGAGACTCTTGCGCACTTTGTACAAAGTATTACAGAGCGGCCTTCATCTAAATCACAGAGAAATGTTGTCAGTCGGGGCACACGGAATTAGAACAACGTGCCATGGCAGAAAAAACAGTTCACTGTATGGGCATATGCCTCATTGCAAAAAAAAAAAAAAAACCCCAAAGCTTTCAATTTGGAGTTTTAAGGGAGAAAGTGTCAATTACAGCTGTGGAAAAAGCAGCAGATGCCATAAGAATCACACAATTTTTTTTTTTTTTTTTACCACGTGCCTCTGCCTGGATGTACAGCAATGTTCTGAAATACCACCAAGACTCAAAGTATACAATCAAGATCAAAAGCAGTTACATGCTAGCAGAATCACATATTGGCTTTCTCTGCGGGAAACATTTTTTTTTTTTCTCAAGAGTACGATCATTGTCTTGTCTTGCGTTACTTGATTATTGATTGAAAAGATGTTCGGCCACTCTATTGATGACAGAAAGTCCTAAGAGGGTGTGCGCAAGGTCGGGCGGAAAAAAAGTCTTCGGCGGCTCTCCTGACATTTCCTAATGCAAAAACACATGAATGAATAATACTTGATTGCGCCCGTGTTGTTCGACCGGAATGTGAAATGGATATTTACCATGCCTTGGTTCAATTTTAATGCAGGGTGTTCACATGTGAAGCCTGTAGTTATTGAAGTATTTAAGAAGGGCTTTTGGATTTGATTTGCCGAGTCATTACTATGGCGGTAACACGCATTTGTCAATGTTGAGTTCATGTTGTCTTAATAGGCACGAGAGAGTAAATTGATTTCTTCACGTTAAAGTTAAGTTATGTAGCTTTTCATTTGGAGTTGACGGTTTCCCTCGGACAAAATCTCTTCATTTGGCTGTCAAGGGTACCACGTAAGCGTAAGGAAGGTCCGAAATCCATTGATTGGAAGAACATGAGGAAAATACGATGCTCCTGACAGACAGCATTGGCGGCCTGTTGGTTAGCTTATCTGTCTTCGAGTTCAATGTTTGAATCTTGAGTTTGACTGGTTAGCCATCCAAGGTGAAGTCTGCCTTAGAATCATGAAGTCAGGTGGGATAGATTCCCGTCCTGTGAACCTGAACGTATTGTCAGAAGAGAACATTTATTTATGGGTTGTGGTACAGAAAGCTGTGGACTTCGAAATGACTTCAAAGAATGGCGTGCTGGGACTTCTCAAATCTTCCTTGGATATCCTTTTCTGTACCTCAAGATTTATAGCGTTCCCTTTTTTGTTGTTTCTGAGTAAAACCTGGATTCTTCCAAGTGTCATCCAAAGTCCAGGGGCCTCATTGTACAGAGACTTGCGTGGCTTTCATACTAAAATACGCCATATAACCAGGTGCAGAAAATATCGAACACACAAAAAAAAAAAAAATAATAATCCAGATGCGTGAGTCTCCTCGTACACATGAAGCCAAACGCATTCCTTTCTCAATCAATGCGAAAATGTTAGCGCTACCAGACTCTTCCCTGTCCACCGACTTATATAAATATGCAAATCAGGATAAACGATGCCTGGTTGGTGGTTGGTCGCACATTTCCACGATCCTTTCACACTTGACGCATCTGAACATGAGTGTGGAAAAGTGCGCCAGCCATATTTTTGCACGCACCATCCTCTGTATATGAGGCCCCTGCTTCTTTTGACCTCCTTGTCAATGTTGAAAGAAGACCTTTCACAGAAATGCCCTATTAGTCAAACTCTCGTAGTATTCCAATTGTGCGTCAGTTTGCATGCAAAAAGCACGATGGAGATGTTCGATAATGTCATCTGACGTTCCTGAAAAAAAAAAGTTATATTAAAGAACGGGACAAGAATGAAATCTTCTTTGGCTTTTTAAAGCCAAACAAGCAGATCCAGTGCGGATGTTTGTCATCCATTCTAATAATTTGCGCTGGATTTCCATGAATTACTAGCAACGATTCTAAAGAGCTTGTCTGCTCCACTTTGAGTGAATCATCAGTAGTGTCCTTCAAAGAGTTCCAAGATTACTGGGGTAAGGGTATAATTTGGAACAGAGAGCTGGCTAACAACCTTCTTTCATGACAGGTTTCTTTGCAATATGTTGAGCTTTCTCCAGTAAGGGAAAGAAAGGGCTACCTCTTTCATTGCTTCAAACAAAGCTAAGGTTTTGCTTGTATTAAATAATACCGCAATGACAATTAACTTGTTGCATGTTCAGGTAATCCTGTATTTCAAATCGTTGAGTCTGACAACACCTTTTTTGACTTTGCGCCAACATACTGCAGAAACTTCAAATATTGTATGTCTCCCTTTCCAGGGACCCCAACCAGCCTGTTCCCCAAGACACCAAGTTCATCCACACGAAACCGAACCGCTTTGAGGAGGTTGCCTGGTCTAAGTACACCCCGAAAGAGCAGCTCTACCTCCACATCGGTCTGAAGCCTCGCGTCCGAGACCACTATCGAGCGACCAAGATCTCCTTCTGGCTCCAACTGGTTCCTCACCTACACCACGTGAACGAGCTCCTCCAGTCGGTGTCCTCTTTTACGCACAGCCCCTCTCCGCAGGACGACACTCCTTATTCCTACACCAAGCGCCTCTCCAAGGGATGGCCTCCGAGCAGCACCCGCCACCCGGGATCCCAAGGAGGTACGCAACAGCCTCCCGAGTCAGCTCTAGGACAGGGCGGCGGCGGCGAGAACGGAGTCCATGTCGCCAACGAGGACTATTCAACAGAACTCTCCGTGACCATCGCGGTGGGAGCCTCGCTGTTGTTTCTGAACATCTTGGCGTTCGCCGCTCTACTCTACAAGAAAGACAAGAGGCGGCTGGAGCATCGCCGGCCACGTCCGCTCCCTCCCCCGCGGCGAGATATCACGGCCGCCGATGTCGCCGCTCACCTTCAGGGTGAAGGACTCATGTCATTACAGGTGAGTCAGCGGTTTTTGTCCGTGTTCAATGGAATGATTTAACCTTGATCTTGGCTGGCGTTTCCGTCATCTTTCTTCTCGGCTTGTGGCCGTTTATTACGAGGAGACAAACTGTGTTGCAGAAAAGTCACACTTTGGTTTGATTTGTTTCTGTTCTTCTTCAACCCTGTTTTGACAAATCGCCGCCAATCGATCATAAGAGTGCAGCGAGTACCGCTCCATCTTTTGACCACTGCGGTTGGTGCCACAAGAGTACCAAAAAGAATTCTTTTGAGTACCCCTTTATGATTCTGTTGCCAGACTTCAGAAACACGAAAGTGGGTAACTCTGAGTTGAATGTTTGTACAGTGTGTCCCCTTTGAGTCTTAGAATTGCCTTGGGGCACCATTTTGCTTCTCACAGGCCAGTCCAGGTTCAATGCCAGACCATGAGGTGGGGGTCGGGGGGGGGGGCGTCTGGAACCAGTGGCCACATAAACGTTTCAGTAATGTAATTAATCAAACAATTTCATTACAAGTAACACAAAGCCATGTGAGGGGTTTGTGCGTGAGTATCTTTATGGTGCTCTCTTGTCAGTGGATCAGCTGCCATTGGAGCACATCTGCAAAAGATAGCATGCCATTGGAGCGAGAAGATGTGTGTGTGTATGTGTGTGTGTGTATGTGTGTGTGTGTATGTGTGTGTGTGTGTGTGTGTGTGTGTGTGTGTGTGTGTTTGGGCACATGCGCACATGTGAGTCGTGTCCAGGTGCCTCACTCGATTCCCATTTAAAGTCATCTGTGGACTATTTGGCTTGTTGTTTGCTCTGTTTGTTGGCTCACACGTGGTGTTAGCGAGCACTAAATGCCAGATTTCCTTTCAAACTGACATGCTCTGCTGATTGCCGCGCAACTGCTTTTGTGTCCTCTTTATTTGGAATATCCGCTCCTCTTCCGCATCTATTATTTCCCCCACGGGTACATCTAGTGTGACAAATTAAAATCCAACACTTTGTCTTTTTTTCCCTCCCCATGAGCACATTACCGATGTGATGTTTGCGTTACTCATAATTGTGACTGCGGGACGAAAATGGCAGTAAACGAACACAAGATCTATAGAGCTTGCATGATTCTGCATGCTTGCTTTTAGGTGTAAGACTCTGAATTGTGTAATTGTGTGAATGTTTGCTTATATATGTAGCCTTGTGATTGGCTGGCAACCAATCACCTGTCATGTTAATGAGGACAAGCGCTTGAGAAATTGGTTGGATGATTGAATAAAATGTCCGTGAAGACGAACCTGTCACCATGCATTAGCATATGGCATAATTGTCATGAATACAACCCGATGGGCCCGGTTCTATGTGCTCACTCTCTCCCTGTTGTGGTTCCGGCTCACACCACTGCAAAGTGTTTGTCATGACATGCTCATTTATACGTTTTGGGATTCAACCAAATGTAGGAAAACAAATGGGCAAAGGGGGGTGCTGTGCTGGAGTCACGTGACCAAGGTCATCTTTTTAAATACAAGTACAAAGATTATTCCAAGGTAAAGCTATACTGTTTGCTGAGGTGGGCTGGCAGTTGGGGTGAAGTTCTTTTAAGTTTGATGGGGTGGTTTAAGGGATCTTTTTTTGGCTTTGAATATATGACATGTAGGGCCCTAGTTACATGCCCAGTACAAGTCGGGCACAAAGTGTCGTCTAACTGTGCGCATGTCTTTTCTTTTGGTATTTTCCTAGACTTCGACGCGCGCAGTCAGAAATGAGTGTTTGCACCTTTGTGACTTGATTCCCAGCCAAGTGAAGCGGCTCGCTTGCTGGAGTCTATGCAAGACACGTTTATAGGGGACTGCAAAAAGCTCTCGACTTGCGGATGATGTAAAGTTCTCCGCAGTTAAGTGGGCACTTGGAGACTGCGTTCCACCCCCAATCGTGCATCTTTTTGTGACAACACATTTATGCAGACAATATATCAGTACCCACAGTGATCTATTATTTGTCCTCTGTGTAGAGTGACTGATATTTGTGCCGCACTGATGAGCTGAGAGACGAGTGAGCATATAGATTGAACAACATATCAATCTGTCTTAAACTGCGCCCATGTGACCAAGGCAGAAATACCAGAAGGGGCAGCACAATGACCAATTGATGCAGTGTAACAAAAAAAAACTATTATTTGTAACTTTATGCAATTATGTATTTTCTGTCCGTCTTTTACAATATTATGAAGTGCTATTTTTGCTCCACACTTTTTGCTGGGCTTGATTAATGGGATATCCATTCGTTTCAAAAGGAATATATAATTTGAGATTTCTTAGCCCTCTGTTTTGAAAATCTAGTCTTAACGCTGCTTAAAACTGTTCGGGAATTAATGCTTGGATTGATGGTTGCAGGTGAAGCAGCTGGAATCTGATGTGGCGTCAGCTGACGAGAGGAACAACACGCACCACCATCACACCCTGGACACGCTGGACGCTCTGGACGGTTTGGACACGCAGGACATCTACAGCACCCTGGACACGGTGCGCCTCACCTGCCCGCCTGACTACACCCTCACTCTGCGGCGCTCGCCCGACGACGTCCCCCTCATGACCTCGCTCACCCCGGGCTCGCTACCCGTGACGCCGGGCTCGCACCCCGTTACCCCCGCCACACCCATGACCCCCATGACGCCCGGGTCGGTGGTAGGGATGCGGATGGGCCATCCCCACCAGGGATACACGCACCACAGCCCGTACAGTAATACGCACTTGCCACACACACACATCTCCACGCACACACACTCTACCACACGTGTATAACCGCAGCAAGAATCTTGCCCCCAGCGGGACATAATTACAACACACATGCTTACACGCATACACACACACACACACACACACACGAAACCATAGCACACAAATACCTCTACTAATGACCCTGCAGGATTGTTCCAGATGGAGAGACATAGCAGTAGGAGGAAACAACAGCTGTGTGGGAGCAGATGAAGAAGTGGAGATGCATTTCTACGGAGGAGAGCTTTGGATATGCCATGTTTGTTCGAGGCGGCGCTCAAGCAATGAGCAGCAGGTCGGTGGTGGACCAGCTTGTATCTGGCGAATCTTCGGATATGGCGATGAGCAAGAGCAGTCAATTGGGGACTTAATTTTAACTCGTGTAGCTAAGGGGGCGCTCGAGTAACAGCGGTCTGTGCTGGAGCAAATTGTATGCGGCGCAGCTTTGGATATGACGCCGCCTCCTTGCTCTTGGCTGCGCTTGAGCAAGTAGCGGTTAGCTGTGGACCAACTTGTAGCTCTCTGACTGGAAGTGTCGGACTTAAGTTGAGAAGGTACAGAATTGACCACGCAGAAAGAACGGGGGCGAGACAGAAAGGGACTTTGGCTGTCCACCTGAACAACCTGTGAAATGTGAATGTAGCATTTCTTTTTCTGTTTTTCAACAAAAAGAGATTTGTCCCGGAACAAGTTGAGCTGAGGAGAACATCCTAACGAAGGAGAGCAGGAGGGACTACATATTAAAAAGAAAACAACCTTAGCTGAAGGAAAAATAAAGAGATTCGAACTTGACCGAGAGCGGTATATCGTACCAGCTCTCCGAGATGTTCCACTCGAGCATCACTCTAACCAGCTATGTGTTCAACTACTGTAAATAGAAGGGAGAGATGATAGCTTATGATTTATAGCATTTACCTCGATCTTGCATTGACTTATTTAACCACATTATTGCTTTCATTTCTGATATTACTCTATTGTTGTATAGATGTCCTGAAGCAAGGCTGGTTGTATGTCTCGCTCGCTCACCTACTTTAATATTTAAAAGGCGTTCTTTTGCTGTTTGTCATCATTTCAACCAGTCTCCACTGTAATCGTCTCGGTCTACTTGTTTCGTCGTCAGAAATTCTCGGACAGCGTCCTGGCTAATTGTTTGACCACCAGGGTGATGAGATCGTATTGTGTAGATAATGCAACATTGCTAAGATGACTGAGCACCAGCCAACCGCCATTCAGAACGCTTGCCCTCCTTCCCCTTCGTCTGGCCCTAATTTCCTAAAAGGGTCCAATTCGGTTGAGTTATTTTGAAGGCTGCTTGTTTTGATTCACAGGTTACTGGGGAAGAAAAAAAAAACTGAGCAAATTAAGATTCTACCTCCATTGTTCACAATGACCAGAAAATACAATAATTACAAAAAAAAAAAAACATGAGGTGTTGTATGTAATTTTTTTTTTCTTAAATTAATATTTTCTTTGCAACCACTTCTACGCATTGTAGTTTTTTGTTGTAGTAGTTTTTTGTTTAACCAACAATGGCTTAAAACTATCGCCATAAACTCAACAAAATATAATTGCATCCTGATAAGAAAAAAATCAAAGCAAAAGAATGACAAGCATCCTGCCATTTGACGAATGAGTCACTTTCACTTCTTGGTTCAATTTTTATTCTTGATCATTACGTGGCCCTATACAGGGCAAGGAACCGGAACCGGATGATTTCTGGCCAATTAGAAAAAAAAAAACAGTTGCCAAAGTATAATTACATTTAATGATAGAAATGTAAAACAAGTATTTTTAATATCATGGTAATGAAAAAAAAAAGTTTTCTAATGTCTTGCAATAATTTCCTGGGATTTGAATGTTGAATTTATAAATCTTTCAACAAGTGCTCTAATAAAGGGTTCAATTACTTTCACTTTTATTCTCGCATAATAAAAAAAAAGAAATGATCCATTAATCATTTGTTTTTTGCGTTTGCCATTGAAGACTTGCTATACTAATCTCATGCCGCGTATTGCTTTTTAATTTTTTTTTTTTTAGCATTTGAAACACCCTTGCAAGGGCCGTTTAATTTTTTATTTTTATTTTTTGTAATCAAGTTGCCATTCTTCTAGTCAGGCTTCAGCTTCTTGTGTAAATCATGACGAGTTCTACTTTGGACAGATTTTGGAGGTTATCCAGCTGGCTTCACACAGCTTAAGGGCTCTTTTGTCAGTTACGTTTCGAATAAATAAATACGAGTGCATTCATATGAACTAGTCACGTCGCAGAAGTGATGCCGCTCTCGTAGCTGCCACAAAAATTGACTTTGACAAAGGCCCAGTCCTGTTGCAAATCAAAAAGTTGGCCAACCTGCATTTTCACTTGAGTAACCCTTTTGCAACGGCCTCAACTTCCGTGTTGCGTTTTCTGTTCCCTCACTCAAATGTTCATTCTCCAAAACCATGCTACTTTGCCACACTATTTAATCCAATATACATAAGAGATTTTAGTTGATGTCAGCCAAACACCTGGAAAAAAAATGTAAATTTTTGGATGGTAAAATAAGAAGTTTTGCAAAAAAAAAAAAAAAAAAATCCCACTGAAACAACAGTGGAACAGGTTGATTGAGGCATTTTCTTTTTCATATTGACTCGGTGGATGGTGCGATTGTGTGAAAGCATAAAACATTTCTGCTGCAATTTTGAAAAATAAAAATACCGTATTGATATTTTACAATTTAGGAGCTATTCAAATGTCTTGTGTATTTCTTGATTCGGAATATGCTTGTCAATGCCTTTTCTGGGGTTTTTTTGGGGGGGGGGGGGGAGTATCACATATATAGGTGCATATCCAAAAAATGATTAAGAAATCATAGAAATGTTTTTATTTTTTTTCCAGCAGTTTGACTAAAAAAGTGGAACTGATATATTTTACAGATTCATTAAACAAACACTACTTAATTTCTGTATTAAAAATAATGTTGATTGAATCTCCTCTTGGCTCAAATCATGATATATTTCTGTGTGTGGCAATATAAGTTTCACTTTTTGAATCTAAAGGGAGTTCTAAGTTATTCTCATTTTTGAAGATGCACCTGCTGTCTGTCTTTTGAATGTGTGAAGTCACCAACCACAAGAACCTTTTTCCACCAGTTGTATCAAATCCAAGGCCTGCGGGCCAGCTCTGGTTTGCCACACCATTTCTTGTGGCCCACCAAAGCACGTAAATGTCTGCTCGCGAGTATTTTTCCTTAGCTGTCAATATTTTTGAAACAAACTTCACTTGGATGTCTCCCCCTATGAAAACATGGTTTAACGCCTCCATTTTACAATGTTTTGTTGATCTATGTATGCTGTTTGTCTTGTAAGATTTGACAACAGCATCGATGACATAATACTGGAAAGAGAAGTGCTGACATGGACAAAAAAAGGTTTATTATTCAGCCTATCATCCACTACAAATCGAACTGATTAAATAAATAGCGCTCACGTAACTTCCACTCATTTGAAAACAGTAATAAAATCCCCCAAATAATGGAGAGATTGCTGCGAATAATGGAAGTACAGCAGCACCTGCCAGCTGGCTAAGGAGACCCTGCGAGATGTTGAAAGAACCAAACCCATGGCCCACTTCCAGACCGGACTGATGTCTTCAAGCATTGTGTCCCTGACTCTAATCCCATTAACTCCATCAAACTGGCGTTAATTTGATTTACACAAGGCAGCGGTTCAGTTCAAGTCAAGTGCAGGTGATATCGTGTCACATCAACACTTGCGTAATGGGACCCCGAGAATATCTTTCCGTTGGAAATGATAGATTCAGAATCACTCCAGGCAAACAATAATGTTTTGCTGATTGGTGAACGTCACCCTCCATCATAGCCACAGTCTCTGACCAAAAACTCTTTCAATGATGAGAACGGGGAAGGTTGCTCAGTTTCCGTCCTCCAATTCAATTCGACTGCCCTGTGTTGTGACAAAAAAAAGTCAATTGACAACTCCAGAAAGAAAATGTCCATTTCCTTTGCCGCCGCACTAGTTTCCAAGACTTTTTAGAATATATTTTCCGTTTGCCCGAATTTGCCCTAAATGTGTTTGGCTGGGTTGAGGTCAGGGCTCTCAGGTTCTGTTTTCTGGTCTCGAGTTGATTTTGTGATGTTAGTCCTTGTAAAGTGAAAATAAATACGCCATATAAATTTGACACACCACAGAGAAGGCTCTTATTATTAACGCAGCCAAATTTGAATGATAAAAAAAAAAGTTGCAGATTCTAGAAAATGAGGCTTGAATATCGTGATGTTCTTTTGACTCTCATATACTGTAGGTGTGTCCACTAAGTCTGCTGAAAACACACCCCGCTTAACTTCCAAATGGCAATCAAATACATTCATACGTCTAGCATCTTTCATGCCAACACATCTTTATATTTTTCAGCCGAGAAAATATATTCACTTCAAGCCTCTGGCAGCTGAAATATCTAATCGTTATCACAGGGCGTGACGAGAAGCGTGGGCTAACAGGCTCCCAGACGCCGCGGATCGGCAGCGGGCTCATCCAATACCTCACTGCCCCGCTTGCTATATGGGTCCACATAACATCGACACTTCAGGGAAAGTTAACTGTTTATCAAGCAAATTCATTACACTTGGCAATTTCTATAATGACACCGAGCTGTTCTGTAAACTGTGGTATCCAAGGAGGGTGTATTGATCAGGGTGTAGGTATAGCTACCTAGCTAGCTAACTGTACGCTATGGTGATAGAAATGTGATTACTGTTATAACTAAGTAACTCGCAACTATGCCAGATAGCCACTAACGATGAAGTTCTTAAACTTCAAACATCCATCCATCCATTTTCAGCACCGCGTATCCTAAAGTGAAAAAAAAGGGGGGGGGGGGGGGGGTTGGAGTCTTATCCCAGCTAACTTTGGGAGAAAGGCGCACTACACCCTGAAATTGTCGCCAGCCAATCAGATGGCATATCTTCAAACATGTATGATGTATTTTCAAACAAATCTTGTAAACCCAGTGAAAGTGGAGAAATATATTTTTGAACAAATTTTGTATTAAGGTTTTTAGCCAGAAACATGAGCACTTAATTCACTTTGGGAGCCACTGGAAAGTATGTAGTGCGCCAAATTTGGCCCCCCAGCCTTGCGTTTGACACCTCTGCCTATTAAAGTTTTTTTTTTTTTTTTCACTCCCGCAGCATCAAAGAGAACAAGAAACTGTGTGAAGAAGAGCCTTCTAAATGTGCGAAAATGAGCCATGCTAGTGTTCCACATAACAAAGTGTGACATTGTGTCCTCTCCTGCTTTCCAACTCGCCAGGGGGGCGGTAAAGAGAGACAGAAACAAAAGAGGTGGGATTGTAAAGCGACACATAAAAAAAGAGCGGAGGCCGAAAATATTGAGAAGTGGAAAATGTAAGACGAATGATAATGGGACATGGGAGGAAGAGCAAATGAGATCATGTAAAGGACAGTAAATAAAAGTATCCATGTGAGGAGGCGAGCGCAAGCAAAGGAGGGGGGTAGATAGGGAACTCATTAAGGAATGGAACACAGCCTGCTTGTTTATTGGCTGGCCGCCTCCTTGTACTTAATCACTCCTGTCCAAGTCTCTCTCGCCTTCACGCACACATTCATAGACCCACACGCACGCCCACACACGCCTCAGAGCGGCAAGGGTGCTTGAATCATTTCCAGTGGGCTGGGTCACTCTCTTTTCTCCTGCTCGGTTATGCTCCCCTCCTATTTCTCCACCATTCATTCGATGGAATGGCCACGCATCCCTTCTTCCCGTCCGTCGTCTTATCTGACAACCTTGAGATGATCTTCAAGCCGCGGCCGCTTGCGAGGGTCGCAGCTCCCCTCCATTCTCATCAGGCCTCCACGCTCCTCTCTCCACTCTGCTGCGCTCAAAATTCGGTCCTCGTCGTTACCCTGCCCTCTGTAACCTTCTCTATTTTTCTTTTTGGTACCACATTCCATTTCTTTTCCTCCCATCCTACCACCCCCACTCCTACTCATCCTCTCGGTGCTGTCTCCCCTCCCCTCCCCCCATCCCCGCAATCTCATTTACTTTGCTGCCTGCTCTTTTTCCATCCTTCAGTCTTTTTTTCCCCCGCAGAAGAGGTTATGCAAGGTTATCTTTATATGCGTGCTTGTTTGCGCTTTCAGCAGCGCGGGCCGTCGCAGACACAATGTCTTGCAAAGCAGCTGCCTCATTAGTTCTCCTCGGTGCCTCATTGCCTTCTTTCTTTGGTTTCTATGGGCGTCCACCTGTTCATTTTAAGCAACTAACAAATGGGCTAACATCTCCACTGGGGCGTTGATTCGGAGTCTCGTCATTAAAGCAGTAACTCTGCTGGTCCAGCTGAGGTCAGCATTGTTTCTAATAATCCTAAAGGGGCAGGATTACTTCAGGGGGAGAGTTCATGCAAATATTCACTTCACCAATGATCCCAGTTGTGTTGCTAAACTATGACGTAGGAGCGTTGCTCGCCATAGTAGGTTAGCCACTTGTGTGCTGTTACTTTAATTGCTTCTTGGTGTGTAAATAATCTATAGAGTAAACTTGGGCCCGAAATGTTTCATACCTGGGGGCAAAATGTTTGTGTGTGTTAAATGGGTGTCTTTCAGCTGGAAATGACACAAGAAAGAGCCAAAAGACAAATAACGTGTGTTAAAAACTCACACACACAACATCACAAACAATCCATCCATTTAAATTAAGATTAAGATATCCTTTATTTGTCCCACACTGGGGAAATTTACAGTCTACAGCAGCAAAATTGGGGGACACACAAAAAAAAAAAAAAATTAATTTCTACCAGCCTGTAGTATTAACAGAATTTCCACTACCATTTTGCAGTCATGAAGAAGGGCACCCTTATTCATAGTTATTCATAAAGCATTTTGTTAAACCCTAACACCCTGTTATGGATATGATCAGATAAGAATTACGGGATAACCTCGTGCTTGGCAAAATATTGAGCCATCCATAAATGTCAGGCACACTTGCGAAAAGCAGAATTATACTAATTATACTCTAAAACTTTGGAAGTATATATATATATATATATATATATATATATCAAGATGCGCGTCATCATTCAGCCAATGTTTTTGCTTTATTATATTTATGCTAATATTTGAGATAGGAAGGGTGAGTGCTGCACCCACAATTCTTCGGTAACAAGGCCAATTGTGCTTGTTTCAAGATGTTAATTGCCATTCAGAGAACATTTCAAGTTGCGTAATCAAAACAAGCACATATTGCAGCTTTGCTATAGTCCGTTTAAGCTGAATGATCAGGAACAAAGCCAAATGCCCGAGATGGGCTTCCGAATTACAGCAGTGTTAAGGGGTTACACCCATGAAGCGAGAGATATTTGAACGCAAACGGTGGGGCAACACAGCTAGACAGATACTACAGGAATACTCACAGGCTAACATACATTAACACCATAAGATCATCAGTGATAAAATGGTTAAAAGCATCAATTGCGTGTTTCACTCTCCAATTCAATTCGACTGCATCATCCTAGGGTGACACAAACCGTCCTGCTACAGTTAATAGCAAACGTGTCTGGCTCTTGCTGTTGTTGGTTGCACACATTTTTTTCCTCTCACAACGAAACTAACACGTTTCCTGTGCGACTGTTTCCCTGAATCAAATCTGTGCATGCTGAGCAAACAAATGGAATAGTCCATTGCATGAGAAGGAGGGAGAGTTGAAA